CTTTCCCCTTGTAACCCAATGCTTGTTGGGTTCCTTCGAACCCAGGCATTAAGTTCCTTTGAACCCAAGACACTTGGGTTCATTCGAACCTAGGAGGACGCCTAGGTTCCAAGGAACCCAAGGCCTGGGTCTCGATGGAACCAGGCATTGGGTTTGTTCGAAACCCAGAGCCTGGGTTTGTTCGAAACCCAGAGCCTGGGTTCGTTCAGAACCTAGGCTACCTAGGTTCCAACAAACCCCAAAGCTTGGGTTCATTCGAAACCTAGAGTTTGGGTTCGATTGAACCTAGGAGGACGCTTGGGTCTCGATGGAACCTAGGCACTGGGTTCAATGGAAACCTAGGCATTGGCTTCGTTCGAAACCCAGAGCTTGGGTTCATTCGAAACCTAGAGTTTGGGTTCGATAGAACCCAGACACTAGGTTCCTTGGAACCCAGGAAGACGCCTGGGTCTCAATGGAACCCAAGCACTGGGTTCAATGGAAACCCAAGCACTGGCTTCGTTTGAAACCTAGAGCCTGGGTTCCAACAAACCCTAAAGCCTAGGTTCATTCGAAACCCAAAGTTTGGGTTCGATCGAACCCAACACACCTAGGTTCAAACGAATCCAAGAGCAAAAAATAAAAAAACTGTGGATTTGGTTGGTTGATGATAATGAAGAAGGCAAGGCAAGATGAGGATTTGGGAACTGAGAAAAATAAAAAAATTCTCTTTTTTTTTTTTTTTCTGTGGATGTTTGCTGAGGAACTGGAGAGCACTGTTGTTCTAGATTCAAATAGGTTTAGGGAAGAAAGGGGGAGAAGGGTTCAGGCTTTGCAGGAGGTGGGGCCCACCTTTTTTTTTGTTTGGTTTTGGAGCAAAAAGAAATGTCATATTGCCCTATTATCTTTTTTTTCCACATGTGCATTTGAGGTGTCACTCTATTTTTGACATGTCATCATGCTTTTGTTAATCAACAAGACACGTCACTGGATTTTTAACTGGATTTTTAACGGAGGGACTAAATTGGGGTCAAAATGGTAAACTGTAGGGACCAAATCAAAAATTTTTTGAGTTGAGGGACTAAGTCGGGAGTTCATATGATAGTTGAGGGACGAAAATGGGGGTTTAACCTTATTTTTTTTAGTTTTTGGTGTTGAATGACATTTTGCGTCTATTTGAGAATACTGATTGGTATTTTAATTTTAATTTTTTTGTTCTTTATTATTATAAAAATATTTAAAATAATATTTAATAGAAATATAAGTATATTTTTATATTTTTTTATATTAAAAACTAAAAAAAAAAAAAAATCAATTTTTATATTTTTTATTTGTTTTTATAAAAGGAAAAAGTACCCTTAATCATGTT